CTTAGCATAAATTGGTTCTCACAACTACTACATTTCTCCTTCCTGGGCAATCCAGCCATGGGATTTAAAACTGAACTGACACACAGAAGGAATGAGAGGTAACCTTTGTATTCTACTTGACAACCGCCAGGTCTTTATTATGCTCAATTGAGGTGCCATGGGTTAAGAAGGCTGGAGAGAAACTAGATATGATTCAGCAGTTTGCACTGAAAACGATTTCCCATTGAGAGGTTAAGAGGTGGGGCTTCACAATTTAAAAGAGAAATGGATAAATAAAAGCAGACTATATCAGGTGCACAGAGGTTCAGCATGAGGGATACTGAAGATTATTTCCCATCTCTTCTCATGACAGATCAGAAAGTTAAGAGCTTTAGTGGTCTAGAGAAATTTAATAGAAGCTATCACTGAAGTCATTTGAAGACCTCTGTCTCTTACTTATATTGGAATAATGGTTGCACTGTCAGTTCTTGGCCTGGCAATGGAAAAGAAAAGAGTAAAATCATTTCATTCCCTTCCTTTTCTATGCATATAGCTGGAAGCAATATATAAAGAGAACTATTACTAGCACGTTTTAATAATTCCAACAATAACAACATTAATGACATTTATTGAACTATGATGTTTGAGACACTATTTTGAGGGCTTTAACTCGTTTAATCTTCACAACGTTGTGAGGCACATGCCCTATTATTATAATCACTTCAGAGACAAGAAAACCAAGCCTCACAAAGTTTTAAGTAAATGACTAAGCACACACAACAGGTAACATCTGAAGCCAGAAAGCCTAATTCTAGAGCTCTAGCTTTTAGCTACCATGTTATACTGTCGGATTTCTTTTCTCCACAGACATTTTGCCACTAAATAGGAGCAGAAAAAGGTTTAGAGGAAGTGGAGGCTCTGAAGACATAACAGAAAGAGAGGCACACAGCAGACAATTATTACATCTATTCTAGAATTAGTTCTAATTTGGGTTCTTGAATTCCAGAATAATGTTTCTTAAAGCAAAGGTAGTAACACTTGTCTGATTTGGGGGTGGTTGTTGTCGATGGTGGTGGTAAGAATCTAAATATTTTTAAAAGCCAGAATGGTAGTAAAAGCTTCTAGTTAAAAAATCAGTAATTCTGGGCAACAACAATGCTCTTTCAATGATGAAATAGCTTTACTTAAACCACTTATATACATTATTCTTGTCTTCTTTCCTGTAAAACGTGGATCATGCCTCAGGTTCACCTCCCAGGGTAGCTATTAAGGGCCAGATTATACCATGAACATGAAAGCAATTTGAAGATTATAAATTCGGGTTCAAATGAAAGGTCATTTTATTAAAGAATATTAATTTATTGATAAACATTTGATTCTGCAATAGTTTCATCTTACTCTGTATATTCCATAATGCGTCAGGTTATTTATGTTGATGCTTTAACTCTTCCTCTGCCTCAGAAATGCTATCTCCTGCAAGAAGTCATGTTCCTCCATGTACTAAGCTCCTGCTGATCATGCTTTCCTTATGAGTTATTAGTTTACATGATTGCCCTTCCCAGTAGACTGTGAGTCTCTAGAGGTAAGGACTATTCTATTTATTAATTTTTTATAGACAATTATAGAGCTTACTATACATATACATAATAACTGATGTAGAAAGGATATAATCCAAAAAGACAGAGGTTATGTTTCTCTTATCTTTGTTCCTGTATTTTACCCAAGTATGGTGTGCTGGTATAAGAGACATTTAGATTGCTAAATAGATTAAATATCTAATATTTAAAGCACCAACTATGTATTATTGGCATATTAAAAAATCAGTTTGTGTGTGACTTGTACAAATCTATTCCAAAAAGCAGGTGCCTTTCTCACAAGGACAAAAGTAGTGTAAATTGGGAATGTGACCATAAAGCAATGGGACTAATTTTCACTGGTAATTTGTAAAACCAACCTCCTTATTTTACAGTCATGCTTTGTAAATGAAGATGATTACCTAGATGTCTTACAGCATTGCATAGAGCTTTAATGAGTAAGTCATATATAAAAAGAGAACTGAGTTCTTTTGCTGAAAGTGATACTATAAATGTAATGTGTTCTCCTAGAAGACATGCTATAAACAGACAGTAACTGAACACATTAGAAAGACCATTCTTAATGAACATAGGCAGAAAATATGGCATATGCCAGAAAACAGGAAAGCAGTCCGAATGACTGCCCAGAGGAAATGGTTGTGAACAAGACAAATCTGATATTAAAGAAGTAAAAGTCAGTTATGCTAAGAGTATTTAGGAAGAGACTGAATAGCTTAAGACTGCAATTCCCAAGCATACAAGACCTTCACTGCAAGCTTCTGGACTGTTGACTGAACAAATATTTAAGTTTCTTATTATGTGGTGAAATTATATTCTCACCTCCAAAAATTGATAATAAACCATTTATAAATTCTCCTGTAAAAAAAAATACTTCTGCATCTACATTTATCTAAATTGACATGAATGATAAAAATTAAGAAATGCTAAAAACTCTGTGAAGGTCATAGTACCTTCACACACAAACATAATCTGTATGTCAAACAGTGATAAGAAAACTACATTCTTAACTTCACTCTAACAGGAAATGAAGTTCAAAAATTCAAATTTCTAAATTCTTCATACTCCACTGGAGGGTTTATAATTTTATTATCTTATTTCTGGGAAATTAAAAAAAAAACACACTACTTTAAAATTAGAGTACATTATCTTTAAAATTATAGTATTATCTTGAAATGTCATTTACCTGCTCAACATTACTGCTAAACTAAAACTCAAAGCATCATATACTTTGTATTAACATGTTGAGCACTGCATACATAAATATGAAATGAGTTTATATGGAGATTTTATTGCTTATATATTGCTTTAATAGCACTTCATAATATTGACAAGATTGTCTTGCATGCATCATTCTCAGAGGAGAGTGAAAACTTCTATAAGCACAAAAGAACTGGTCTCTCCCTATATCTTACTCCTAACTATGAATGGGGTAGGTGCCACTCTGATAGTACACCATTATCTTCATGGTGATTCATTACACTCCATGACAATAGTATGTACAATTACAGGCAAAGTGTTGAGGTCAAACTCCCAATTCTGGCATCATTAAATGTATGTAAAAGTTGAACAATCAGATAATACTTTAATACCCCAAAAGTAATATTATCAGGAAATTAATAAGTGGTAAGAATTGGGAAAATAAGGTATTAGTGATCACTTAAATGGCTGGTCCACACTGAATACTGAAGACAATACAGGCACTTTGATTGTCCTACACTGTGTTGTAGATGTGCAAGATAACAAAACTGCTGTGGCCTTAAAGGTTAAGGACTTGTGCCCCTTCCCCCGATGTACAAGTTGTACCCAATGATCCATTATGAATTTATCATTCATTAGTGACATCTAAAGTGTTTGCAAAGTGGACTGTATTTCCAACCTGAATTAATTCTTAGGGCTATGGTTTTCATTAGTCCATAAACATCTGTCTAAAAGAGTAAAATATAGTATCTGTGAGAGGAAAACTAGGTAGACTATCTGGTATTTCTCTCAGGGTGGAGATTACATGTATATGTAGTTTATGTATAATGTTGTTAATGTATCTTTATTAGCTATACAGACAATTATAATTTGCCACAAAACCAAAGTTCTTAAAAAATAAATCCATGGCTACATTAATTGGCAGCGCTCAGAAAAGCAAGAGGTTGTCTGTTCAGAACCTTACTTGTATTTTTCCTCCCAGAACTGAAAATACTTGTATCGTCAAAGGCAGGCTATGGTATCTCCAACCAGTATTAAGGGAAGCATAATGCTAATTCAGTGAGACACATGGCTCTAAAACCTTCTTGTCTAATATTCAAGTAAATACCATCTTTCTACATGTTCAAGTCAGAAATTCTAACTGCAATACAAATAGACAAACATAAAAATAGTGCTGGGTCAATGGTCAATGTACTTTTAAGGAAGGGGATTTCTCCTGACCCCTGATGGCAACGGTAACTGTTTACTACACTGTACACAGTCTCAGGGAGTTCCTCACATACTGTACTGGTGTCTGATATCAGGGACTCCTCCATGTTCAGCAGAGAGGTGGAAATCAATCTGCATTCTCAGTTAGGGTTTATAGCCACACAGTCTTGAAATGTAGCAACTCAGTCATAAGAATACATTTTTTTTCTAATTATTGTGACAATATGTCAGTTTTTTCATTTATATTTCAAACAAATGCAAAAGAGTATGTTTTCATGTTGTTTATATCACATTCTTGTAATGTGTTTAATGTATGAACTTAAAATGTCTTCATCTTCATGACTATAAAGCTGTATGTATATATGTGTATGTGTATTCATATACATACATACTGTATATGTGAAATAAACTATATAAAATATTCAAACTGTACACTGTAAATAGGTATTTGCAACTACAGAATCACAGAATTACTACTATAACACCATTTACTTCATATATACATCTTCTATTTCCCTTTAAGTGTATTTAAATTTACATTTAAATTATTGTAATTGTTGTTAGGGTACATAATTGTTAATAGGCACCACTCAAAACTAAGAAAATAAAGATTATAGAAAATTAGCTGGGTAAAAGCGCTTAATGACTCTTCTTTAAGTGTTTGTCTTATACTTAATATGAAGAGGTTTTCTAAAAAGCAATGTGTTATTTTTAGTTTATTGACTCCATAATGTAGCTGACTCTTCTTTAAGTAAATGTGTTTACCTTACACTTAATATAAAGGGGTTTTCTAAAAAGCAATGCATTATTTATTTAATTTTTAGTCTACTTACTCCATAATTTAGCCCACTTTGTTGCAAATTTTGACATGGCTGTCTGAAAGTATTTGGTACTGATTTAGGTACAATGGTAATTAATGATAAAAGATTAAAAAAGAGAAAAGAAAGAAATCCTAATCTAGGGGAAAAACTTAAAAAGGAAGCAGAGGTGATCAAAAGCATGTAAAGACCAATCACCTACCAGTTCTACTCGTCCGAAACCTCCAACTCCAAGGGTGTCAATGATGTTGAAATCAGACAGCTTCAGGTTGGCGAAGAAAGCAGCTTCAGCTTCATATCTGGATTTTTTGATGTGAAAAAATGGAAATTTCTTAGAGGTGCAAACACGAGTACTGCGTACATCTGTACCAGAATGACGTGATGGTGGAACAGGGTTTACCTGCTTACATTCCATCTTGCTTTTAGAGTTTGTGTTTTTTCACACTCATAATTTTTTGGTCCCAGTTGTGCAGAATAACATAAATTTGCACTTGTTTTTCAAAGCACTGTAGAAAAATAAAAAGTAACCTCTGCATGCCAGTCAAGTGACTGATAAATCCAGTTATCAAATGAAAGTTACATGGTGGTCTTTTTCTACGCGTCTTCTTGTGAACACCAATTGTTTGAGTTGCTCTTTTTTGGTTTTGTTTTAGATTTTTTGGTTTTGCTTGGTTTTGTTTTTGCCGTTCAGATTTTGGATGGCAGTTTCTCATTAGTTTCCCTTATTCACAGGCTGGCAGCACCTCCTATAAATATTTATTAAAAGCAGCACGATCACAGAGGTCTTTGGAGCGAAATCACAGCCAGGTTTTATGAAAACAGATCCGATATGCTGAGAACTGATGTACAAGTGTCCGAAATGGATGATTTCGGAAGCAAAGTCACATTCCTAAAAAGTGTCTTCCCTTCATTTTTGTTTACCCACTGACTTGTAGCCAAAACTCTCAGCTAGCCGTCTCAGTGTCTATGTTTGCAAGTTTCTTATATAAGTGGTGTGGAGAAGCATGGACTGCTATTCTAAAAGTCTAACTATGCACAGATGCAAACCTCACATATGCAAGTGGCTGAAATAAGCTTCTCCTAATGAGACAAGTGAATATGAGCTGCTTAAAATACATCCTTGTCAAAGGCCCTGCTATTTTTAGAAAGGACAGGAAGGCATAAAGATGAAGATGATCTGCCCACTCACCAACGTCAGGTCAGGGAGTAATTCAGCTGTTTCAAAAATAAAGTATTTGAATAGCTATGCATAACCCATGACTTACATCCCAGCAACACCTGATTCAGTATATACTATAGATAGAAATGATGAATGCACTTGAGGTAATGATACTAACACAGCCTGCTTATGTCTACTTTTGCATAGAATCAGCCATGGGTATGTTTAACATGAAGCTGTATAACATCTTAGCTAATTCCATTAAAATCAAACACAAATTTAGACTCTCCACTTGGGGGAGAAAGTGGAGAGCCTGTTGTGAAACAGTTTTCTAGGTGAGCTTTCTGCATTCTTCAATTTACAACCATGTTTCTAGTTTTTTAACAAGTCAATTGTTGACAGGCTTCTCAGAGGGTAAAAACAACATTATTTTCCATTATTGGCTGATTATGTGAAATCGACTGCCTCCAAAAAACCTTTAAAAACAAGGCTGCCAGCCCATCCTAATGGTATTTGTAGACTTCCGTCATTAACTACACACTCAAGAGATCAACATAGTGATCCAGGAGATGGTTTACTAGAATGGAACATAAGCAGCAAATGCGCATTTCTAGCATTCCAGCTGGCTTGCTACTTTTGGAAAATTAAAACTCCATCCCATTGAAAGGGCTAGTGGCAGAGTTGACTCCAACAGGTGCTGAAGAAAGACATCTGTTGAAATCAGACAGACCCTCTGACTATTTGTATGTGGTCAAGCATTTCCTGGCCTCCTGGATAATTAAATCCTTAATGAGGTCGTTGTTGAATAATAATCCATGTGTTCATTGGATTTGGAAATCTCAGGTACAAAAAGGGTGAACTTTTTTTTTTTTTTTTTTTTGAGACAGAGTCTTGCTGTATCACCCAGGCTGAGGCTGGAGTGCAGTGGTGCAATGCGATCTTGGCTCACTGCAACCTCCACCTCCCAAGCTATTCTCGTGCCTCAGCCTCCCAAGTAGCTGAGATTACACGCTTGTGCCACTAAGCCCAGCTAACAAACAGGGTGGACTCTTTCAGACTATTTTGATACCATTTCATTTATTCAAAGTATGGTATTATTATTTGTAATCCTTGAAGGCACCCCCAAAATTCTTATTTTGGGAATTTGTGAAATTAGTCTGGAAGTACCCACAAATGAGTGGAGGGATTCTAGCCTTTTGTCACACATTAGAGCTACCCGACCATCTTTTAAAAACAATTAAATTAAGCCTTGCCACAGACCAAGTGAATCAGAAATTTCTGGAGGTGCTACCCAGGTGATTGTGATGCAGAATAAGAGTTAAAACCTATAGTTCTATACCTTCTGAAAGCCTCAGGAAGTTCCATAAGTCATACAAGTTTTTTTAGGTGTATTAAAATGGCCCAGGAGATAAGTAGCTTCCCAGTGAGTCTAGGGATGAGACATTCTGGCAAGAGGGTTGGAGGCTTTTATATCTTGGTCTTGGGCCCTGCTCTGCTCGTCCTAGAGCAATAGGAATAAACAATAGTTCTGAAATAGCCCACACAGCTTAGAAAGGAGAAGGAGAGGGAGGGCAGAGCGGGAGCAGAGGAGAAGGAGGGGGAGGGAGAGTAGAGGAGAGGGAGAGGGAGAGAGAACAGAGGAGAGAAAGCAGAGGAGAGGAGAGGAAAGGAAAGGGGGAAAGAAAAAGGAAAGGGATGGAAAGGAAAGGAAGAAAAGGAAAGAAAAGAAGAGAAAGAAGAAAGGCAACATTGCTAACAAAAGGTAGATAAAGGGTGCAAAAGTTATGAGGCAGTTACATCATGTTTGCATATCTACAGCAAAGATCTCTTGACTTTATTTATAGCTAATTATCTGGCTAATTACTGATAGCATTTAATTAATAGGAAGGGCATATTAAATTTCATCTTAACTGGTGGAAATTTTCTCTTTAACCAACAAAATCCACTTAAATATATACTTCCCTATATACCAGAAGTACCAATTGCAGTTTAACAAAATATTTCACATTTTAATGAAAAGATATTGGTAACACTGTAATCATAATTAGCCTTTGCTAAAACTTTGCTAATATTACTAGGTGAATTTTAAAAACTATCTAGTTGTCTGATTTTATCTTATTGGCAAGATACATTTTGAAGGGGTCTTTGAATAATTGTCCTCTTTATCCTCAATTCTGTTTGTATTTGTTTCAGATCCTGATTTTGGGGAAAGTCAAATAATATAGAAATGTAACCATAGCTGTCTCTCTTTTCCACTCAAAAATGCTAGCTCTCTTTTCCACTCAAAAATGCTAGTTTGCTTAATATTTTATATGCATTTATTTTTCTTATTGGATTATTTTTAGAGACAACAGTCATATCTTCACAGAGACTCTGCACACGCTTTCACTTTTTGAATTAATAGTTGTTTTAACATGAAAATCACTGCATAATGAACCTTTCTAAAGAGGCTAAGCTACGGATGAGTTATATTTTTCAGGTATTTAGCTGTTTCTTCTCATAACTGGGAGGGACATTTGCATTCTTTTTCTTTACTAGAGAATTATTTGAAGAGAATTTGAATCAATTATGTTCTGTTTTTTTTAGAATTGATAAAAGTTTAAGTGGGGAAGACAGCTAAATAAATGGTTAAGTAACAGTCATTTACTGTTATTTTATTAAACAACTTTCTTTTGCTTGAAGAGATAAATGTGCAACCCAAAGGTTCTATCTAACTTATTACTATGGGATACTGGGTCTGAGGAATTAGGCCCAGCTTCATGCAATTCTAAAATCCATTTGTGCAACAGTGTTTACAGGAGAACAGTTGTCAAATGCTAGCAGAAATACATTTTAGTCAGAAATGCAGTTCCTGATGTTTGGTTGCTTAAAATATGAAACAGTATATAGTATATTTTCTAATCATTCTTTATTTAGTTTGAGACAATGATTTTTTTAAGGCTTATTATTTTTAATTATTATTATTATTTTAGTATAGGGTGAAAGCTGTGGATCCTCTTCCTAGAAAAGAGCAAAGACTGACATATCTGTTGTTCTTACACCTATAGGGAGCTTATAAAGCCCTAAAATAGATTAGCAACACTCAGTATAGCTATACAAGATAATAAGTGTGTTGCATCAAGATGGCCAAGGTAATACATCACTTCTCAAACATATCTGATAATAAAGAGATTCACCTGGGGCTATGGTGATTAGAAACCACAGACAATTGCTAATTCTTAAAGAAGACTCTTTAAATCATGTAATATTGAACTTTTAACAACTAAGGAGTAACAAAGTTTCCTTGATTTTCACCTTTTCATTTCTGTGTATACACCAAAGGAGGTGCCAAAAACAATAAAAATGTAAAGTCACAGGTATAAAAATGAGATCAACATACATAGGTATAATTTAGAAACAGGAAAACAATAGTAGAATAATCTCAATCTCTTCCTCCCCTCCCCCATCTCTCTTTCTAAAACCACTGTGTGCACATTTCTTTGGAAAATAGATAATAGTCATTAGTTATTATATTTCCATTTCTTCCAATATTACCAGTCTCCACAAAACCAAGGAATAATACTCAAGTGTCCCTTATTATTCACCACAATTTTTTTCCATTCTTGACGTAATACCCATGACTCAATTCTGTCATTTTAAATTAACAGAATTGGATGCTACACCTTATGACTGACCATTATTATTAAGAACTAAACATCTCTTCCTATGTATTAGAAACCAAATATAGTGTTTCAACCCAGGACAAAATTTGTGAAACTTAAAATTTTACATTCACCTTGCTGTTCCAATAACGGAAATAACTCAGCATTATTTTACAAAGCAGACAATATTGTGTACCGTTTAAAAGTAAAGGCCACATACAAAAGGAACATAACTATAGCTCCCGATGGGTAATTCAGACCCAATAGAACAAAAGGCAAATGTAGCCCTATTAGCTTTAGCTCAGCTCATCCATAATCCAAATGAGCTACAGGAGTCTACTGTAAGTGTCTCCAAATAACGACAACAGCAACAACAAAAACAAATAAGGTGCTGACATCTACTAATCCACACGCAAACCAGCCAATCAGTTAGCCTGGCTTTGCCTTGACTCATCTACTTTTGGGTATACTTTCATTTCCTGTTGAGTTTAGGTTGATC